CAAGAACATAAACGTTGATGCAAAACTGGGTTGTCTGAGTTTTGGTTTATGAACTGTGAACAACAGGAAAATATTGAAAACACAATTTTACTTCTACCTCCAAGCTTGAATCAGTTGGAGACAGACTTCTTGTATGAGATGCCAGAAGTTCAAAGAGTGGAAAGGAGAAATGTCCACCTAATATAGAACAGATGACATGGTATGAGCTAGAACTGCCTGAGCCATAGACATTTCCTCTTGTGAATGAAAAAATAAATGCGGGTTTCTGTGTTAGACATATATAGATATAAACAGACATCTATAAAATATAGATATATCTATAAAATGCACATACACATGTAACATTTATGTATAAATAAATAACTTTTTTTAAAAAAGTATACGTAGATAGATAGATGCATATGCATAGATATAAGTATATATCAATTCACCAGGACTGGGCTAAAAAGGCAAAAGAAATGTCTGAAAAATATTGCTCATGAGAAAATTCAGGTTTTTTTTGGTTTCTTCCTCAGTCTTCCTTGACTATTCATTTGAGGAATCGGGGATCTTCTAGCTGCCTAGACTGTTTGGTGTGGTGAGGAGCCTGGAAACTTTTGTTTCCTGTGGCATTTCTCCAGGCAGGCGTGGGATTTGGAGTCGGGTGAATCTTAGAATATTATCTGTCATACTTTTTGCCAGGCAGGCTGATGAGAAGTATGCAGCCAAGGAATTTGTTAAAAGAAACAAATAAATAAATAAATACAAATTGTATACAGCACAAACAAGCTCTTCTGGTGAAATTTTTCCATTTAAAATTCGTTCCTTTTAATCTAGGGTTTTTTTTATCAGGGAATCATTCTAATAGAAAAGTCTCAAACAGTTCTGGAGTGCAGTCACCCTAGTGATATAAATGCGCTTTATTAGAGCACCAGCATATTGAAATTAAGTATGCCAGTAAAGTAGAAAGACTTTGATTACATACTACAAGCCCCTCTGCCTTTTGTTTAATTTTAACAGATCACATAGCTGGAATTTTGGAACCACCATGTGACTCTTAACATTACAGGAAAATGACAGTGTGATGTAACATGATCCTTTTGATCTTTCAAAAGACTGTTAATAAAAAGTAGATGATATTCAGGCTGACACTGCATGGGGTACTTTTTGAAGAATGAGGTTAAGTATTTTCAGCTTGATTCATGCTCTATACCCAGGTTTATAGGAGGTCCATCCTTCAAGGAGTTGCTTCTTTCTTGATATACCATGCTATTTGTATAGCAGAAAGACAAGCTTTCTGGCAGTTTCATCCAGTGTTGAGCAGCCTTCCCTCTTCATCTTTGTTCTTATTTGCCAGTTTCAGTTGAATATTTCACTTCATTTTCAGTGGGACGGCATTTAAGAACCTTTAGTAATGTAGCTTATATTCGTTTCCTAGGTTCCCCTACACCTTTTTGAACCATTTCTTAATCCTCTTATCCTGCCTGCAACTGCATGCCCTCCATCGGTTCCCTGTCTTGGTGGAACATGGTGCATACCTCCCCATCACAAGTGACCGTGCTGGATGGCCACGCGGCGCAGCACAGAGTCCTAGTTCCTGCAACCAGGGTGGCTGCAGTACAGCTGTGGTGCTCCCCACCAGTACCTCCCGGTCAGTACAGTCTCTAACATCTCTATACCTTCCTTCACAACATCACCCCAGCTACCTCCGTGCTGAACTGCCTTTCTGGGCAATCTCAGGATGTTTATTCCATTTTCTCACAGCATTTAACCAAGGCACCAGCAACAGAAATTACCTGCTGTAACCGTTTCATATCTGCTATGTTGACTAGTGTTTCCCTGGTTTGCGAGAGAAAATGTTGGGGCTCGATTTCCACCTGGAAGCCGGTTTGCAGAGTCCAGGCGGTTTCCAAGGATTTGGGATCAGATGCGTGTATGCCATCTTACCTGTTTTGAACAGGATTTGCTTAACCAAGAGCAGCTGCCTTCTTTTCCCCTACGTGTTAGGTGGAAGAGAAGAGCTAAGCATGATGGCTGGTCCTGGCCCAGGGCCAGCGCTGCAATCGCCCCCAAGACTGCCACGCCAGGCAGTAGCTCCAGGACCAGCGGGCTTTCCTGCCGGCTCTGCAGTCAGGGTTGGTCTCCTCTCTAGTTTGTATATCCCCTTCCCACCAATGCGCCGTGGCTGGGCTTTGCAGGCGACTGCTGTGGCTCCTCTGAGGAGTCAAAACTGTGACCATGTCAGGGAAGACTGCTGGTGGGAGTGTTATGGAAGTGGAAAGGCTCTTGGAGCAGGCAGCTGAGAGCTAGAGGCTTTGAAAACCCCCTTTCCAACCCTCTGCCAGTAAATCATTCCTTGTCTTAAATGCTGTACTGTTAAACTTCTACTGTGCTGCTTTAATGCAGGCACATATTTATTGAACCTTTGCATGGATCTATAAACATAAAAAAATTACTGTTTTAAGCAAAACAGGTTTATTTTCCTGACTGCCAAATGTTACCCACAGACGATTGTTCGATAGAATGGAGGGCAGCAGGTGAATATTTGTTTATACATTTAGAAGAGTGGGTAGACTTTAGATGTGTTGCAGTTCGCATCTGTAATAGTGGAGCCAGATGTTGGGAAACAGGCGTCTGTGCAAAACTTTAACAGGTCCAGCACATCCAGTGCTAACTGAGAAGGAAAACCCAAAGTCATTAGGAACTTGATGCACCTGGTTTATGAGCTGTTAAAGTTCTCTTTTTCCCTTTTATTTGTCACATTACTTTGGAAAATAAATTTACCCAGTCACAGTGGAAATGATGCTTTACTGACATTAATACATCCATCAATGTCTTTCGAGCCTGTCTGGAAAGTTTGAAAGCAGTCTATAAGCTGGTATTTCATGAGTTTTCTAGTGGATGAAATCCCAAGTAACAGGCATGGAAGGAAAGCATTCTAGCAAGCATTTCTAGATAGGTGCTTCGTGTATTTATTGCTTTTAAAAAGAAAAAAAAAAAGGTGCCGTCTGTCTGTGGGCAAGCTTGTGAACATCTCGGCAACATCACTGAGATTAAGTTCTTTGATCTTTCCAGTTACTTTGAAATTGTTTTGTTTGAGGTAGAAAAGCTATGATACGCTATGGCAATGCATCCTATTCACTCTCTTTTTCCAGCTCACTGTCCATGTTGATTGCACTGTGTATCATTTTACCTTTTACAGCATAAATGCACTAAGGTTTTATTTAACATACCATTTTTCTCACAAACTTATTAGTTTAGTCAATGCAGATAACCAGCTAACCATTTCTAGATTCCTTCATTTTAAATATGTTGAAAAAAACACGAGTGGAAGATCTTATCAAAAGATGGGCTATTATGCCAGGCACAAATTTAGCAACACAAATTTAATATACTAATGACTAGATAGATAAAAATATTTAAACTGTAATTATTATGATACTATTATAATTTATTCTCGCTGAAGTTATGGTCATATAAAAAAGCACTTTGTCAGCATTACTGTGAAAATATATTTCAGAGAATTGAATGCTGCTTTTATATATTGAATGATTCCTTTTTGCCCTCTTAAGACTGAAGTACTCTCCTATTTTTTTATACTCATCTCGTGCACATGTGCCTTGTGTAATTGGCAGGCACAGAGGCCATGCCGAACCCTTTATTGGGGTTTAATTTGGTAAAGTAACAATAATCGTGCGTCTTCCTCAAGTCTCATATTGTCCCTTGGTTTGCGCCTTCCCCTTGCCCCTCTTGCCAGACTGTGCCAGTCTGGGAAGACCTTTCTCCCTTGAGGGCTTCTCCCATCCGCTCTATACTCAGGCTGTCTGCTTTGGTGGACTAGCAGAAATTGCTTAACACTTTTCTGGTAGACTCAATACCACCACGTGTTTCTTATTAGTGCTGCCAATCTATAAAGCCGGGACTAGAACATGGTGGGTTTTGCTGCTACTCAGAAGAATTGCTAGAAGTTGCAGAACTGTAAGAGACAAAAAGCAATCTGTGACTATCAGAGTTTTTGCTTACTCAGTTCTCCATCACTTCTTTAATAATGCAAGGAATTTGGTGTTTTGATTGCACCTGGCTTAGGCACCTGTCTATATCCTTAGGCTGTGTGGATCCCAAAGGATGCACCTGTTTATAGTAACTGAAATTGTCTGGCAGGAGGCCTTACCTTGGCCGTATATTTGACATGTCCCCTATGCAAATGTCTAATGTAATAGAGTCATACATTTGCTCTTTAGTAATGACACATTGTTGGGTGTCAAAAAGAACATACAGTTTTTAGCCCTGCAGCACAGCGTATCTTCTGTTGCAGAAATACTACTCGGATGCCTTAACAGACAAAGGTGCATTTTCCTATGGAATTTAACAATGAGTCTAAGCACGTCAGGGCTTTTCTAATGAAGCCTCTGATTCGTTGCCTGGGTAATGCATCACATACGTGACCTGTAACAGTGCTGCTGTAACAGTAATGAAAATTATGGTGGGATACTTCTTCTGTATAGCTCTATACCTCTACTGTCAGAAGGGTCACCTTTCTTTAGCGGGAATTATTCTGAGACCATGCTGGATCTGGTTTAGCAAATTTGTTCCTGACTGCCAGGCTGTGAACCCAATCAGGTTGCTGGAGAAACTAGTGTATTTGTGCTTAGGACTTTTCGCTGTGGAGAAAAAATAAAAAAAAAAAAAAAAGGCACAAAGTTTGGAGGTGCACTCTGTGTGAATTGAGCTCCAATTCAGTAATTCAGTCATTGTGGAAATTTGCCCACATAGTCTATTCCTTAGATAGTTTCTAGCAAATGAGACAAGTTTTAACAATATCCATTATTTCATAATCTGTGCATTGCATCTCTCATAAAAATCTGCATGTTTGCATTATTTCATATTTTTGCCAGTTAATTTGTGTTTTCTATCCATGTTCAATTTGCATTCATTAACTCATAGTTTGCTGGTAAGTGTGTTCTTTCTATACATGTTCAAAGAAATTCTTTAATTCAATTTCTCTGTTTCTTCTCATACAGTCTCACAGCCAGATATGCAACTCAGTCTAATCACAGTGGAATTGCAACCAGTCAAAAAAAGACTTCTAGGTCAGTTAAATATCTCTAATTTATTGCTTGTTAGTAATACTCAAGCAAGTATATGCCCATTGATATTTTATCCTTTGGACATAAGCAGGCATTAAACGATGTGTATTTGTTATGCGTGCAAGCTTTGCAACGATGAGCTGTGCCACGGGAGAGCCTTGTTATGAACTGGAAGGAGCTGATTTGTACTGTATATTAGTAATATTTCTGGTTGTTATGTATCCTGCATCTTTGTATCCTGCATGTAAAATATTGGATGTCAAGGATTAGTTGGTGATTTTAGTGCTCTCTACTTTCTGGCTCAAATCCTTACTCTAGTCATGAGCGAAAAGAAATTTGGGAGTGCATCCCAATTCCCACTAGCTGTTTTGCATGTATCACAAACCCACCTGAGAAGTTGAGTTCACAGAGCCAAGTTCACGTAGAAGCAAAATAGAGCAGAAAAAAAGAACCACTTCCAAGACTTCTGCTCCGTCAAGAGTAGCCTGCACACAGTCCCCACTAATGAAATGCTTTGTTTTGGCAGAGAATTTGACAGGGCTGTGTGTAGGAGCTGACCTGTTTCAGATTTCATCAGTACTTTTAGTTTATCACTTCCATGAGCACTAAAATCTACAAGCCAGATTGCAGAAGAAAGAAGGTCTAAAGCTTACTCTAGTTTCTAGCTTTTTTTTTTTTTTTTTTTTTTTGGGTGGGAATAATGAATGTGTTCATTAATTAAAACTTTGCTGTACAGTTCAATGGTGAGAACAATGAATTCTAAATTGCATAATCTACAATAAAGATTGCATTTTGCAGTATAGCGCACTAACACAATTTGAGTTGCTGGTGATAGCTTGGAATGAGCTATACCATGGTCCAGTTGCTTTGCACCTGCATTTATAGGTCTTCAGTTTTCCTTATTGCTGATGCTCCTGTCTTGTCTGCATTCAACATGTCGGGGTTAACAGTCTTATTGTCTAATACTTTAAATCTGTGGCAGTGTTTCCGAAGCCTGTTCAGAGGTATGTGACTTGTCCCTTATTTGTTATTCTCCTCTTTGCATTTCCTTAGCTGCTTAACATGATTCTGCAAGAGCAATTTAAAACCTGAATTCAATTAAAAAAGGCAGCAAATGAGGTAAACTGGAAAGTGTGTAGAGCAAATGACCTCATGTATAATGTGCTTACTGTGGCAAGTTCTTGAATTCTGGCATGCAGAATATATGCAGAAGTATTTTCAATTTTAACAGAACAGATGAGTTTCCAGTGTTGCACATGCCTCCTCATTGCTTTTTTCATTACCTTTGACAAACGATCTCAGGGCTCTTACTGCCTGTCAAATTAGGGTAATGAGAAGGAGCAAATGGATTTTTAAGTTTGCTTTAGTGCATTCTTCAGGGAACAGAAGATCACTCGAATTCATGGGTCACAGTAAAGGTTAGCATGCGTACAGCTGCAGAGCAGAGACAGTCTGCTCTGGGCTCGGCACAGAGACTAGCAGGGCAGGCTGGCGGCCAGAATGAGCCATAAAAATAACTAATGGATTAGCTCTCTGAGGCTTAAATTGGTAAAGGAAGAGAACATGGAGCTGTTTACATATGTTCGCTAATGAAAATAAAATGATTTGAACATTTCTGTTATACCAGTATATTAAACAAAAGAAGTTCGGAAGAAATCTAACGTTTCGTAATTCTTTGTAATGTGATTTTTTTTCTCCCTTCTGATGCTGCTCTTTTGTAATACAGTGCAACTAACAGAATTAGATAACTCTGTTATAATTTGTATTGCCACTATTAAAATCATCATACCATTCCAATAAGTGAGAAGCAGAAGAGAGATACTCTTCTCCTAAGGCAAAAGCCTTTTACTGATTTGAACATTTCATTTCATCTATCAGATAACAAAACTGGAAAGGAGTGGGGGTGCCCACAAAGATGCTGCAGAAAGTTCGGAGTAAGCATGTACTAAAGAATCTTATATCAGAGAATAGATTCAGACAGAAAAAAGATGCAGGCTTACATACGCCAGGGACAAGAGAGTCTACATTTTTACCCTTAACAGAGCCACACAGTAAGGTTCAGATGGTGGCAGCAAATACCAGCAAATGAACTGTATAGTCTACATTATACATTTCTATGTCAAACTTACACATGCATCTGTAGCATCTAGCTAAGAGAAATATTTTCAATATTTTTCCTTTAAAATAAGGTAGAAGTGCTTTAGCCAATAGCCCTCTGAAAAATAACCAAAGGTAACTAAAAAGCCAACTTTTATGCTGAACACAGCTGTGAAACATTTACTAGAGTAAGAGATATGAAATATTTCTCAACTGTGTGTTGTTGTGCTTTCTAATCAATTTCTGTAACGTTTCCTCTCCAAAAGTGACAGACTTAAATAAAAGGTGATACTGCACTTGAATGGTTTATTAGGGTGAATCTGTTTTAGCAATGTTAATGGCAAATGCAAAGCATCTTCTTACCTGTCTTGTGACTCTAGAAAGCATCTTTTTCCCTTTTGTGTGCGTGAGGATAAGCTTTTATTTTCATTTGTGGAGTCTAACTAATTTGAGTCTTCCTGTTCATTGTTGCTTACCTGAAATCATTGTTTTCGGTTGTTGGTTTTAAATTCTGCTCTGATATTTGCATACTGCCTCCTCTATATGTTGCATTACTTAAAATTAACTGATTTCTGATTATACCATTCCAGGCTTCCAGGACCCTCAAGGGTGCCAGCTGCAGGCAGCAGTACCAAAGTCCAGGGAGCTTCTAATTTAAATCGGAGAAGCCAGAGCTTTAACAGCATTGACAAAAACAAGCCTCCACAATATGCAAACGGAAATGAAAAAGGTAAGTGATTAGAACTTACTAAGCCTACTCTACGTAATATACAAGAGGAAAAAAAAAATATCACCAAAAGAACCCATCCACAAGGGTCAAAGAAGTGAATGGAATATTTAGACTTGGTAAGGAAGACCTATGGAGATAGGGCTCTGAAGTAGGAGTTGTGGTTGAGTTGAGATTAAAGTTCAGAACTGAGAACTTTCAAGATGTTATAATTATATTTTATCCCTCTCTGATGGAAATAGCACTAGGTGATTTTTTCTGAAATAAAGGTGACTCTGTATTGGATGCCTATAATCTTGGTCCATATTCAAGTGTGCTCATATCCAGAGGAAGACTACCATAATTTTGAGGGGACTTTGCATCTTAGCCTCTAATGGAGAAGAATGAGTATATTAGGCTTGCATCAGGATAGTACATGCGTCTATTCCTTCAGAACCTTACCTAGTGTATATATAAGTCTGAATAGAGGACTGGAAATGAAATCAAATGCAATGAAATTTTGCAGGGATTTGAGTTCAGTGTTTGTGTTTTATTGCCTTCTTTAAATATGAACTCCCACTATGGAAACAAACTGAGTTCCCTAGGTCCTTCCGTTTCTCCCACCCTAATAATGTTTTCCTGGAAAATGTGCCTCTTCAGGCTTTATCTCAGAAAGAATAACGTAAAAATTCAGCTTTCTGAGTTGTGCAACTAATCCAGCCCCTTCCCCCCCTTCTTTCTCCCTTTGTGTAATGAACAGCATTTTATTCATATCTCTGGGTTAGAATACAGTAAAAAATGATACAATATACATAGTACCCGTTTGCATCCTTGGGGTCTGTGGGAGGAACAAGTATGCAGTGAATGTTCTTCATCCAAGCAACAGGCAGCTATCCAGATTTTTTTTACAAAATTCTGATGAACACACTTTGCCCCTAGCTGTATCTGAAGATATAAAACCATCCTTTCAATAGTTATTTCTTTATTTTTACTATCAGGATTGAATGTTTTAGATAGTTCTATAGTGGGATTTATTTTATCAAGGACTTGTTTATGGCAAGACATCCAGACTAAGACTAGAAAGAGATCAGAGTGAAAACTGAGCAGACACTGGATAGTTCACTAATACAATAGTGAAGTTATGAAGGTGGAGATGTGGCTGCTTGAGTGAAGGTATGTACAGCAGTTTAGGTTTTAGAATTGCTTCATAATGTTGACATAAGTCTGCTACTGAAATATGTGAAAGAGTGAAATGATTCAAGGTGAGACATGCTTGTAGATACTAGTATTCTTAGCTCGTTACTTGAAAACTGTCTTTTGACTGCTGAGGTTTGCATTGCATTGCACAGTTACGTGGCTTTTTGCATGATGGATTTCTTTATTTTCCCATTTCTTCCACAGCAGAGAATGAGAACCTTGATGAGATTTTTAGTGAAGTCATCACTTGCAAGAGGATAAGGGGTGGCTTTGTTTGTGTATAGTCATTCAATTCTTTTACAGGATATAGAAAATTTAATGTTGCATAACTATGGAGTAATATATTTGAGATGTTTCCGTCTGCTCTTTGTTCTTTCTTTCAAAACAGCAGAATGAATGGAGGAACATTATTTTACATGAGAATATAAATGAAATACAAATTTGGTTTAGAGTAAAAAGCAGAAGTTAATTAAAGAAAATGACTGCTGTGAGTGCAAGGATAGTGAAGTGATATTTTTTGTAATACCCTAAAAGAACACATGGGAACCTGTATTTGAATTCAACACGCTACTTCTTTGCCTAAAGAGAAAAACAACTGAACTATGCTATATTTTAAATTTAATTATTATAGCGGTTAATTTTTGAATATTACAATGAAATTTCCAAGTAGTCTTTTGATATTTTTTTAAGTATTTGAGGATGTTCTGTGACCTGAGATTTTTTTGAAGAAGTTGTTTAGAAACAAACTTTAACCTTCCCAACAGTAATAGTAATAATGACAAACACCTCTTAAAAAATAAAGTCGCTACACATTGAAAAACTGAATTTTCCTTAGAGTGTCACACACATAATAAACCTTGTATTTCAAATTTCGCTTCTGATGCACATGCTTGGAGCAAGGTAACTTTAGCAGCTTCCATTGAATGAATGTGCAGTCCACACACTCTAATTTCTGAGACATAGATCATATAGTAACTAGCTTTAATTCTGCATTAGTGCTACATGAACTGAAGCGGGAAAAGAGACAACTTGCAGTAGGTAAATAGTGATTAGACGTTGGGACCTCCAGACCTCTTCAAGGGCAGACCATTTTTGGTACATTTTTCTCTGCTGTACACCTTCCTGTGTGTGCTATAAGGAGACCTCAGAAAAGATATTATAGCATAAGGGGTTTTTTTTAATCCAGTTATATGTGATACTTGAAATCCATTCCTGCATAACACGGTTTCCAACTCAGTCACAGTGGGGAATGGCTATGTAGTCACAGAGTTAAAGGAGACCTGAAGGTGATCCAAAATAAGATGCAATATGGGCCTTTTATTTAGTATTTCATTATTTAGTATGTCATTAATGTTATCTCCTTTGAATGTTGCTTGGGGAGTAGTTCACACAGGAAGAAACCTAGCTCCCCTGAGCCAGTGCAGGTTTGCTCTTTACAGAGTACAGCCCAGTTCTCACCCGCAGACCCAAGCCATTGCTGTGACACAGGTAACTCTGCGTAGCTGCGGTTAAGTCAGGAACGCAGAATGCACCAAAACAATAAACGTGCCATGAACTGAAGTTCATCTGTGGAGCTTTAGTGAGCTGACCTTTTCTTTTTTTTTTTTTTTTCTTCTTTTTTTTTCCTGGACTTTGCAGCTTATGGGTGGTTTCAAAGAACGTATCTGTTTTCCAGGTCACATCACATCTATCTGCTTCTGACTTCATAAAATAAAGACGAAAATAAAACTATGACAATGAAACTATTTGAATAAAGTAATTATTCACATTGCTAATAAGATGGATACCCAGGGTATTTTGAGTCCAGCAAAGAAATCATGTTATAATTCAAGTCAAATTTAAAAACAAGTATTTACACTTAGAGCTTAGAAACACTGTATCTGAACACTGATAAGGGTCTCTTTGTCATGGAGTGTAATTGCCCACTTTTCAATATAATTTTATAATATAGAATGGTGTTCATGTATTGTCCAAACTCAGTTGCAACAGTATTTAGTTATTTTGCCCATACCAACTCTGAAAAACATCTGTCTGATGGATGCAAATTGTTGTTCATCTGTGACCAGTATGTATAGTTAATTTGTTTACGTTTCTTCTGGTGCCAGTATATTGCCAGTTGTCCCTGGTGTTGGTCTCCCCCTGTGAAGATAAGGGGTAGCTGCTTTCTCATGGACAGCTGAAAAGGGACAGTTGAACAGGCTGAACTGTTTTCATCTCAGCAGATAGACCTCCCATTCCTCCAAACATCCCTACAGCAGTCCCTTGCGGTTCTTCTATTTTCTAACCTTTTTTATTGTGCCTAAAATCGGATACTCTAATCTGGGCACCTGCTTGCTACAGAATATCTAGATGATGACTACCTAACTGTGCTGCAGTGGGGCAGCTGTTGTCACAGAGGTCCTGTCTTCTCCAACAGCACTGAACACAGCAAAGGTCATGGATGAGAAAACAGAGGAGGTTGATTATATACTGGACTGACATTTAACCCCACACATGTCCTTTCTTTGTGCAACAACCTATGCAAAGTGGACTTGAAAATGTCCATTCGGTTGTCACAGTCTTGCGGGGTTTTGATAGAAATTTCTCCTTTTGCACTGAACACCTGGGGGTGGTGGTGTCCTTTTCCGACGCAGGCTAGGCTGAGCTCTGAAGCACGCAGCTCTCGAGCAGAATGCAAAATTGTTTTCACCATAAGCTGATTATGCATTTCAGCGATAAGGGGATTAGGCCCTAAACAAAGGACTGTCTTCTTGTAAAATTTTGTTTATAAAAATATGAAATCCTTGACATAGGTTGGATTTACTCGGTATGAAAATCACCACAAGGTGGGGACAGTTTTCATATAATGAACAGCTGAAAGCTGAGTCCCCACTGAATGTGCAGAAAGCAATGAATGATGCTCAGCTTCAAGTAATGCATTTGGGCTGGGGGGAAATAAATCATTTTATTCCACATCTTTAAACAAACAGACAGACTCTTAATATTTCTTGAGAGTGTGCAGTCCACATTCTTTGTGGGAACATTAAGGATACGCTTTAAATTGAAGATTAAAGGCAAGTTAAGGTTCTCTGTAAATTTTGATGCTGTTTATGGTTTGTGACATAGGGATCGAATAAGTACCAGTGGTTCCAGGAACCTGTGCTTTTTTGCTATATATGTAGCAGAACAAGCTGTTGATGAAACAGTAAATACTCTTGTTTTTACAATTTCCCCCCTCAATGAGTTTAATATTATATAGCAGGAAATATGGCAAGGCATACATTCTTCTTTTTAATCAGAATGCTTTTTTTCTTTTTTTTTTTTTTTTTTTTTAAGTAAAACTAATAGCCTGAAGCCATACAAATGTAACAGAATTAATACAACAGAGTGTAGCGGCATCCCGCTGTTCAGAGATTGTTACACGTATTCCGCATTAGCTTTGCATATTCTTATGGTGAATTGTTCTTCTGTAAAACTACTGGGATAGCCAAAGACCCCAGTCCTCCTGTGTAATTAAGGCAAGCTTAGTGCAAGGCAAGACGTGTGCAAGAAGGTCCTTGTGCACACCCACTCCTGGGCTATCAGCCACAGGGCTGATCCCTGGTATAAATTAAGAAAGCCTGAGGGCTGCAGTAATTTCCAACAGCTGTCGTTGGGCCCAGGCTCTCTTCCAGGATCTGAGGCTCACCAGAAAATAGCAGGGGCCCAGCCGCAATTCCTGCCTTGGTCTCAAGCGAGGGATCAGCTCTGCAGCCACCCACCAAACCGGCTCCACGTGCATGGTGCTGCCTGGAGCTGGGGAATAAGCCATAACCTCACCTGTCCCAAAAAATGCTCTGAGGCAGCCCTTACCGCTTGGTGGTTTCTCGCCGAGTAACTGAATGCAGCAGAGGTGCTTGAAACTTTCTGTGAAGGTGGACTGAGCTCATTTAGCGCTGTGGGGTTTGCGTATAAGGCTGAGGAGCACACAAAAACTGGGCAGATGGAATTACACAGCATCTGTTGAAGGTGGAGGTGATGGGCCTGCTGGGATACAGTTGTTAATAGTGTTGGTACAGTTGTTAATAGTGTTAAGCAAGTAAAAGGTGTTACATTTCTGTCATCTTTCTTTTGTTCAGATTTTTTTTTTTTTAAACTAGAACTTCTTATATGCTATTTAGAGACTTAGATTTTGCTATGTTTGTATTCTCTTTGTTAAAGAAAAAAGAGCTTCCCTTTCAGGATGCTCAAAATCTTCCCTTTCCCATATGTATTAGTGGCCTTCAGGCTTCCAAATGAGTAGTCTAATCCACACTAGGACCTTTGGGCTGAAAGTACAAAACCAAAAATGATTCAAAACTTCAAACTCTATGCTGAAAGGACAAATGTCTTCAGTATCCTCATCTACTATATTATTCAGACAGAGTGGCCCCAAGGCATGGCTTTGGCTTCATGTCAGTAAGTAACACATCAAGCACTCTTTTTTTTTTTTTTTTTTTTGCCATTCTGTGAACTATATTTGCATTGCATGTTTCACAGGCTTTCTTGTAGTACTAAATTTGATATACTATAAGCAAGCTTACGCTTAATTCAGTGGCAGTTCTGAGACTGAATGGGAAGATGAGATAGATACACTGAGAGAAAATATGTCATCTGCTGAAATAGCTATGTATCACATATTTGATTGCCATTACCACTTCATTTCTCTGGTGCTCTAGAGTAGTAGTGTTTAGATTCTCAGATATGTCTTGGAAATCTGAACTTCATACAGAAGAGCTCAACCCTTCCGTGCATTGGTCTGTTTTGCTTAATAAGGCTAGGTGACAATCATGGCTGTCAATTAGCATAGTTTGATTATTGCAGAAAGGGTCTTGTTCTCATTCATTCTGAAGATTTGCTGAAGTTTCTGAACCATGTAAATGTAGTGAAGGTACCAGAGCCACATAAATGAGCCTTCTGTACCTACCTGAGCTTCAGGCCCAAAACAGCTACTGTTGCTGTACCCACGTAGATGATATATCACTGTAACTTTCAAGTACTGACACTGATGAACTTGTTGATATATTTTTTCCCATCTATGGAAGTGCACTGGGATAAGTTCCTGAAGTCACCTACTAAAGATCATTAACTGCACTTAAAACCAAAAAAGTATAGTGACTTGCCATTTTTTTTCTTTTATGAATATTGTTCATATCCATTTAATTTCAGTATTACTCAGTCCTCCTCCTCCTCCCACCCAAAGCCTCAGCTTTCTAGCACATATTTTGCTTCCACTAAGTATCAAAACCATCTTTCTCTAGTTCTGTTTTTCTTTCAATATTGTAGCATTCTTTTTTCTTCCATTTCTCAGTGTTTTATTATTAACAAGTGATTGGAAGAATCTCTTTATGACTTATTAAAGATAAAATCTTTAAATTGGAAGGCTTAATTTCCTTAATGAAATGTTTACGAGGAAGGTGTTTCCAAGGCTGTACCGAGCTTATAGAAGTATTGCACAACACTGTGATGGTGGGGGGAAAAAAAGGACATTTTCGATCAGCACCCTTAAGGTTCAATGCGCATGTAAATTATGTTTATTATAAATCACAAGTAATGGTGTTTTAAATGCCAGAGGACTATGGTATCACCTTCGAGCAGGAGACGGGAGAATAACTGTAACATTATGGTTCTTTCTGTTTTTAAGCAGATTCACCAAAAGGCCCTCACCCATCTGCAGGCATGAATGGAAATGTGCAGCATCCCACCAGCACCGGGCAGCAGCAGGTCTCTGCCATACCCTCTCCAAGCGCCAGCAAGCCTTGGCGCAGCAAATCCATGAATGTCAAACACAGCGCGACCTCTACCATGCTGTCCGTGAAGCAGCCTAGTCCCGCAACCTCCCCTACTCCATCTTCAGACAGGCTCAAGCCGCCCCCTTCTGAAGGCGTGAAGCCCCCTTCATCTGGACAAAAATCTATGCTGGAAAAATTCAAGCTGGTTAATGCTAGGACTGCTCTGAGACCTCCTTTGTCGCTGAGCTCAGGACCCAGTGACAGTGGGAGAGAGGATGATACCTTTTCAGAGTGTGGTGAGATGGATGTCTTAAGCGGTGGGGTGAACAGCGGTGGCTCCACAAATAGCAGTCCTAAAGTATCACCGAAGTTAACCCCTCCGAAAGCTGGAAGCAAAAATCTCAGCAATAAAAAGTCTTTGCTACAGCCAAAGGACAAAGAGGAAAAGAACAGGGACAAAAACAAAGTTTGCACTGAGAAAACAGTCAAGGAGGAGAAGGACCAGGTCACGGAAACATCTACAAAGAAGAGTTCAAAAATTGCAAGCTTAATCCCAAAGGGAAGCAAGACGACAGCACCCAAGAAGGAAAGTTTAATACCATCTTCTAGTGGGATCCCGAAACCTGGATCGAAGGTGCCAACAGCAAAGCAGAGCGCTTCATCCGCATGCACGGGAAGTAAGGAGGTTGAAAAACTGAGGACTACAAAAGGAAACCAGTCCCAATCAACACCAAAATCTCAACTTAGCGAGAAGGCTTCTCCTTCCTCTGGTCTTCCTTCTTCTGAAGGGAAAGAACCAAGCGCAGCTCTCACCTCGGGGTCCTCTGCGGCTCTGTCGGCCTCGATGGCTGCAAGCAGTGGCCAGGGCACAGGAAATGGTGTCGTCCAGCTTCCTCAGCAACAGCAATACAGCCACCCCAACACTGCCACAGTAGCTCCTTTCATTTATAGGTAAGGTCACGGAGGGAAATTGGGTTTGTGTCGCCATTTAGGAAAGAGATCTGAAATGGGTACAGCAATGGTGGATCCCACTTATGTTTCATATCTCCCAGTTTCTGTCGCAGCATCACGCACATGTTTTCCTAATATTATTTTTTAATTAATGTTACTGTATGAACAATTTCTTCCAAGAACGCTGAGTCTCTACCTTGTACAAAAGCAATCTACTGCAAATATTTGCCATTTAAAATTCAGGATGTTTTGATTAGAAATACAAATCACATGATCCATTCCCTGCGCTGCTTTTGAAAGGTCACGGCTGAGTCGGGTTTCTAGTGCGAATATTCTTGTTTGCAATTTAAGAACCTCAACATTTATTTGCTGATACTCAATAATATTTGTTTGAAATACACTGTTCTCTTAAAAAATCCTCAAATAAACTGCTGATGTTTTCAGAGTATGGAGCAGTACTACTAGGATATTAGAGGAAAAACTATACACAACATTTGGGGCAGAGAGAAAAGGTTGCTGTTTGCAAAGGTCCTTTTCCTGATTAGTTTTATACATGAACCTAGGTATAGATTAACTCCAGGAAGCAGTTAATTTTTACAGGTGATACAAGCTCTTTTGAATGGCCAAGGCTCTGGAATAGAGGAATGAACAGTTACATATACCAACCTTTGTCTGAATATATTTTGCTATATGATAGAGCAACTGAAGAGAAGCCGAGAGGTTTCATTGTTGTACAGCTCAGAAGACAGAGTAAGTGTAGAAAGACTGGCAGGCTGCTTTGAGTAATGATTTCAGATGTCAGCTGTTGGAGGGCTTTAGCTTCAGTTGTGGGTAAATTTAACATCTGATCAAATGACAAATACATTATTAAGCAAAATGTACTGGCAGTTTTTGTTAGTGAGTAGTACTGTAGATAATCTTGGCTAAAGATTAAAGAGGTGGTGAAGTAGTTTCTGAGGGAGTCTATATATCATTACACACAACTAAACATAGCTTCAAAACCAGTCTGGGTGAGTGATAAACTGTTTAAGTTAATGCTTAACAAAAGCAGTTCAGAAATCATATGGGAGGGGAAAAAGGCGTAATATAGGTTATATTTATTCTAATATGCAGTGGGTAATCTCTTGAGTGTCAATTAAATGTATCACTGAATGTGCTTAATATGCATATTTCTTTATATCTAGACAATTTGCAGCGTGGTATGTAGGATGGCCTACATATGTGTTAGGGTGCATATATAAAGAGAGAGAAAAAGAAGCTATGCTTTACCTTCAGATGCACGTGCTATTTAATGGCAATTTTACCACATATTGATGCCATTTCATTGCATGATGGCGATATCGTTCTTTTAAGCTTCATCATGAAGCAAAATGTATTTTCACTTTTAAAAGGTGATAGAAGCATGCATCTTCCAGTAAAATTTGGTATTAATAAGCATCTGTTTGCTTCGAACAAACAGCAAAGGAGGCTGTATTTGAAGTTAAATCTCTCATGAAAATAAAATTCTCAGAGCCAAGGTCTGATCTCAGAGTGCCATAAACCCAAAGTAATAGACCGACTTTGATGAGGTTACTTCAATGTGTATCTCTGTAACTGAGAGCAGAATCTGACCCCAAAATACACAGTAACTGCATTTCTTGCAATTTTCAATGGCTTTGTAATAGTACACAATGATTTCATAGAATAATATAAATATAAGCAAGGATAAAATATCCACATTTCCAAAGTCAGCATATTTATTTTTGTGGACATATGGCAAGTAGAAGTTTGCATGAAGCTGGGGTACTGTATTTACACTTTCTTGCTCTTAAACATAACTGTTTTCTGAGCAGTCACCACAATTTATACACAGAATTTTCAGGTGTGCTTGTTAGCCGCTAGGACAGCTGTATAGATGGATGAGTTAATAAACAACAGTTACCATTCAGACTAAGTTTTTTACAGCTAGAAGGAATATCTAGGCTCTGTACATTTGTACTGCAGTCCTTATAGAAAGTTGCAATATAATTTAGTAACAATACTGTACATTTTATCCAGAATCCTGCAGAATACTGTGATACTTTAGGCTGTTAACACAAGGATAAATAAGCTCATGCTTTTTTCTGGTTCGTTGCTGATATCTGCAGATATCATATATTTTGCAATGTTTGATTGTTATCCAAGAGGTTATTACTGTAGATTTGTGAGTAAAAGATAGTTTTCAAAGAGTTGCTTTGAGGTGGCATGCATTTTGCTTAAACAGAGAATGGAATGCTATAGAGGTTATCAACACTCATGTTTTCAAGGAGTTGTGTATTTTTATTAATGGACAGTAGATAGAAAATACTATTTCTCTAGGAGGTTCCGAAATGATATATTGCACTATTCAGCTTTGCACTCTTGGTGCTTTGTCCTGTCTGATATCACATTGTATTTTTATGCCTCTTAAATACCATGGCATGGAAATTCATATGGGATTATTACTTCTCTTCAAAGATTAGCAGTAACAGTCAGAGTTGCATTTGAGATAATCTAAATGGGTATAATTTAAATTCTTCCATCCTCCTCGGCAAGTGATTATTTATTTTCAAATGCAGTTGTGAATGTGTTACTTACAGCCCCTTATGTGTCCCCTCTGAAGTTGACTGCAGGGTCCAACTGGTATAAGAAAGGCTGAAGTAGACGTAATTTAGTTGCCAGAAAGCTTGATGCGAGAGATACAGCAGGAAAAACAACTAAAGGGAAGGTGTAAGAGACTGTATAATTATTTAAAGTATACCAGCCACTACTTTAAATTACACATTCTTCTACACAGACAGAATTGGTGGAAGATGGAAATTGTGCCATCTGCCATAGTCCCTTAGACTTTTATTGAAATTGGCCATAGAATTTAGTTATCTTCCTACTGGTGCTTAAATTTCAGATGGAGAAGAGTAACACAGAAGTTTAGTTCTTACTAGGTTACAGCGAAAACAGGAAAAAAAGGCATTAATGAAAACTAAAAAAGCAGTCTGAATCTTTCTCCTAAAATCTTAGCAAGAGAATAACAGCTTAATTGCTCAGTATGTGGAGTTCTTATCTTTCCTACGCATTGCTCAGAAGTGTAATATAACCTGTAATTCCAAACATTTTCTTGCACAGAGAAGAGCCCGTTGTATGCAATCATTGCTTTATTTTTTGTGAGCCAAATTGTGCAAGTTTGTGTTATTTCCATAAAATGGGAAACATAACTAACAGTCCCAGGAGTAACACAAATGTCACCTCACTCCATGGGGCAAATCCTTAGTTGATGTAAATCATCATGACCCTACACGACAATTAACATTTGCTGTGGAGTTGCTCAAACACTGAAGGAATATTTCAATAGGAGAACATTGAGTTGTAACTGGACACATGTACTGCAGTTTAGTTTTACTTTTTGACTCCTCCAGTAACCACTGTGGGAGCTTAGTGGGTCTCTTTTCCATGGCTGGAATATAGTATCTTTAGTGCCCAAATCCCAAGAGCCGTGGTGCTCAGGGATTGCTTATTGCCTGAATTGCTGGAAGTATAGAAACTGCTGCAGGGAATTAGCTGACTGCTCATCATCCTGAGCTGCACTTCTATGTTGTGCATTGCTTTGCGTAAATTTCAGTTCTTCAGCTAAATTTGTAGTTTAATGATAGCAACATCTGGAAGAAGTTTCAGCACTGTCTGAATTGAGACCTTGCAGAGATACTCTTTCAGTGTCAATGCTGGACTACAAAAAACATTTTGGCACTCCTTTTGTCCCTGAAGAGTAAGAAACTGGTAACTTCAGCTACCTATTAGATCGATCTAGAGAAGATGGAGCCAGATTCTTCTCTGAAATGCAGGATGACAGGATGAGAGGTAACAGATGCAAGTTACAGCAGGGGAGATGCTGATTAAAAGTTAGAAAAAAATAGTTACCTTGAGGGTGATGAAACACTGGAACAGGCTGCCCAGAGAGGCTGTGGACGCTCTGTCCTCTGACCTATTCAAGACTCAACCAAATGAGGCCTTGAGCGACTTAATGTAACCAGACCTGCTTTGAGCAGGTCATTGGACCAGATGGCACCTAGAACATCCTTCTGATCTAAATTACAGAATTATGATTCTGTGAGGACTGAAGTATTCACTAGATAGAGGCAGAGAAAGGAAATATATGTATAATAAATAAACATATTACCAGGTACTAAAATCTTCTTCCTATCTCCTTTCCTATATGGTGATTGAAACCATTCTACTACTAGAGCATGGCTTCAGGGGTGCATGGGAAGCGCAGAGCTGTGACAGATGGGAAAGAGGATATAATCTGGTTGCACCTCTGGAGGCACAGTGTAATTCAATTCCAGCTGCCTCTTCAGGATGTTTTTATACTGGCTTAGAGAAAAAATTAAACTGCTCTTCAAGGATCCTGCAAACCCAGCATCTGCAGGGTTTGTTGAAGCCATATTTATGTCCGGTTTTAATGACTAGAAGCTACTTCTGGTCACCGATTGTGGAGTGAAAATTAAATTTTCAGCAGAAGACATACTATCAGTTAATTGTGTCTGTTAATAATAGATTGTGCTGCTAAACATACTGCAACTCTTTCTTTAAAACTGTGATGATTCAAAGTTACGCTGCAGTGCTTTATTGATTTCCGTTATTTACATTACCATTGTGAAAATAAAACAAGTCACCACCAAAATTTTGCAATCGTAGGTAGCGCTAAACATTGCCACCCACAAGTTTTACTTGTAACAAAACCACAGTGTTTAGAAAAACATTTTCTCATGCTTGATTTTCAAGTAATTGTGCAAGAAATGTTTCTAGTGTAGAGGTGTTGGCTTAAGAGATGGAAAGGAGGATAATAAGTGAAGAAATCATTATAAACACATACTTGATTAATGCTGAGTTAAAACAGTAGTTTGATAATTCAGTTGCTTGCTGTTTATGACCTGAAGTTACTCTTTTAAATTTTGATACAGACAAGTATGGCCTTAGTCCTTTGACCAAATAATCAGTAAAATGAAGGATAAA